TGTACCAGAAAGGATTGTAACAGGGCTTCATTCCCTACGGCACCCCTGGGCCCTGAAATCTGCTTTGGCCCAGGGCTCTGCATGAATGTCCTCATCACGCTTTAGTCTTCAAGACATGCACTACAAACAAGGGACCCGGGCTTCAACAACCTGTGAAATCACACTTTAGGGAATGGAACAAGCCAGTCAGATCGTGACATGTAGGGCGGACACTCCAGCAGGGCAGCGTGCGCTGATTGATGAGGCTTGAGGTGTCGGGGATTCGATTTAAACCTGTCCAATTACCCAGAGCCCGCCAAACCTCCATGCTTCCATTTCCCCCATCTTGGCACCCCTCTCCTCTGAGCCTGACAGGACTTACAGGTAGCGATAGCTGACAGCAATGTTGGTACTAGGTAAGCGGAGAGGTGGTTAAAATTGACAACACCGCCGTCATCGTTGTAGGTGGTAGTAGTAGTTGTGGTAAGCAATAGACATGCAGAACTAGCAAGAAGTGAGAGAAGTGAATGACTTCTTGCAGCCAGACTGCAGGATGGCAGCCGCTCGATGCAACTCCATCTTAGCCACGAACCGCGTTCCTAAATTCGGCGCCAAGCGGAAAGCCGACCAGACTTATAGGCCTTGGCGGAAAATTCCTACAACCTGCCTTCACACTGGCTTCAAGTCTTTGCGCAATCCAACTGTAGAATGTATTTGAGGCAGCGCAGCTGCCGCTATGACACTTGCCATGAGAAAGTATTCCAGCCGCGCCCAACGCTTGAGAACAAATGTGAATGCATCCGAGGGTGAGCTTGAGACAGAAGAGCAGGCATAGCAGGAGCACCTGGCCACAAGATTCTTTCCTTACGTGAAACTTTAGATCCCCTTGCCCAGATCTGAGCAGCGAAACTTGCTTTGCATCAGGCCATCCAAGAGTCAGCGAGGAATCCTCAAAGGACTACACTTTCCATGTTTGTTGGGACCCTCCGATCTCCAAGAAACACTGCTCACCGGGGTAGCGGCTGTGAAACTGGGACCACATCCCATAATTCAGCGCCTTTGGCAGCTGTGAAGAAACTGTCCCAGTCCAATCCCCTGACCTGGCCATCACTTTTGTTTCCACTCGGCCACGTCTGGTTGACACTGGGCACAGCATTTTGGAAGTTCGATGCAGAGTTTGATTTTTCTGCAAAAGCACTTCCACGTGTTCATTAACACTACGCAGTACGGGCTGCCGTGGCGCATGCCTCGTACTACGCGCTGACCGTGCAAAGTCTAAACCTTGGAACTGAGAACTTCTATTGCTACAAACCCGCGAGCTGAGACTTGTATTTACCGGACATTGAAGTTTAAAAAAAGATTCCCTTCATTTCCGATGTTTTGCTGCTTGAACAGAGCGCCTCACCCTCACTGCAAAGGTTGCTACTCAAGGCTTAGGATGTGGGCCTGCGTGCCGGGGACCTGCGCAAAAGCCAGTTTGAGGTTTAGAGCCAACGCATGTAGGGGCTAGCGTTTCATTTGAAGGACCACCTACTTCCGAACCGATCTTTCGGAAAGTCAACAACGATCAACCCTTTCTCTCCATGATCTGGTCGTTTGGGAATCGTTTTCACAAACACAATACCAAAGAAAGAACCTTACTTTTCCTGTCAGCAGTCCAGCATCTGCTTGGTAGTTGTTGAACCAGAACCGGCATAAACTTTAAGGAGAACGACGGCTGGTGCCGCCACACCAGTGCCTTCACTGCCTACAGTCATTCTACTTTCGCTGCTTTGCTGCCATTCTTATTGTCAGTCCGAGGGCCGTCATGGGCATAGTTCCTATGGTATTTGCAGGTACCTCTCCTCATACATGGTAGCTGTTATACGTTTACAAGTAACAAGACTGCTGCTACTCTGCTTCTACAGCTGCTGATACTCTTCCTCCGCTTGAATTCACTGGTCCCATCAATGTTCTTACCACATAAGCTGCTGATGATTAAAACAGAAGAGCAGCTCGCACCTTGACGGTTGAGTACCTTCGCTGAGGCACACCATGTTGCCACAGAAGCTTGCAATAGAAATGGGCCCTGAGGAGGTCGCCCCTTTGTAACTCGGATTTAAGGGTTTAGCGTTCCGACTGATGTGGGGGCTATGGGGGAAGGATTAGCATGATCGGCATCTTCTGAATGGCACGGGCAGCAGCTAACAACGCACTGAAATGTTGATCTGGGCATGTCTCAGGATTGCAGTCCTTGAATTTCCTAAGTGCCAACAACCAAACTGGAACCTGCTGCTCTTTTATTTTCATGCCTCGTCTGTTGAACAGGCGCAGATTTCATCCTGATTGTCAGGCACGCGATTCAAACAACTTGGCCTCCCATCCCACCTTGATATTGCGAATTTGAGCTATGCTTTTCGACCAACTAAGTTTTTGGTAGCGCTCCTGGCATGTCCCACACTAAGTTCTCGGATCCCGGCTTCAAGGACGCTAAATAAGCACTCAACGCGTTTGAAGAAATCTGCTAGGTCCCCAACCGGGGCCCGTTCTCGATGGGAAGCGACCGAAAAGCCGGCTCCTTTTGGAAAACATGATATCTGCAGGTTTTCTGGCTACTTTTCTGCTTACCGCCCTTGGCATGACTTCCTGTTCTCAATGTAGTTACTAGTCTGGCTGACTACGTTTGCTTGGATTACTCGTCAAGCCACTGCTGTGTTTTTGGACAAGTGTTATTGTTCTCATTACACTTACTCCCATGGTCATGACTACCTCGAACATATTTCCCACTGAAGGTGCTTCGGTGGTCACCCTTAAGAGTGTAAAGGGGTTAGCTATGGGATGGCAGGTGGATCTGCCCCATGAAAAGACCAAGTAAGGCACAGCTTATAGCTCTGTATGGATTTTTCGGTTCGTTTGCAAACCTCACGAAAGCCAAACCTGCTGATGCAATGGCGTAATGTGTGCAAACTGGGTACCAATTGCCTCAACATACTCTACCAGCCTGCGGAATTTGCGGTGCAAACTCATATCAGAGCCCTCACAACCCGCTTCACGGCTACGGGTTACAGGATACGAGCTCAAATGAGCTATGATTCATGTCGGGGTAGCCCCTGAACACAGAATCCGCACCAAGCATTTGAATGCCGGGGGTGCTGCGTCTGCCTATAAGGATGCTCCACAGACCAAACACCAACGGATTTCCAAACAATCAAGACATCAGGGACAAGACAGCCAGTAATCCATATCAAACGGCTATTCATGAGTCAGAAGACGATGAAGCACCACTGGCACTGATAACAGCAATGACACCACGTTGACATCGCTCCCAAAACACAATAATCATAATCCTTACCATAGGAACCCCCAAAAGGGTCCCCTAATTCTTGGGAAACCCCCAACATACTGACACACGGCCTGAGCCTACTACGCAACACACAGCTCGGGGCGTAGTTTCATCGGTACACACGAACAGTGTCATGACAAGAAGACTCGTACTGATAAAGCAGGCCCAAGGCACAAGAACAGTAAACATGTGAAAAAAGATGCGAGCCGCTGCATCAACAGGAGAGAGACCAACGCCAAAGATGTGCAGTAGCAGACATAATATTCCAAAAAAACTCGTTTACGACAAAAATTCCAATGAACTCAACCTCTCTCTCTCTCTCCTCTCGTTCGTCAACGCGTACTTCTGAATGCAAGTCCCAAGCCCCCCTCTTGCAGCATGTACATGTCAGATTGTAAATGAGAGGGATGATCCGCATGTCAGCATTGCCACAATCCGTGGCTCAAGCACCTATGAAGGGCGCGGAACGCGCGAGAAAGTTGTGGTGTTCAGCTTTGATGTGTGGATGGGTTTGTGTGTCGGAGGTTATGTAGGCCGTGTGAACCCTCCATATGGTAGTCTTGACGGTGTTCCCCCCTATTCTTGTCGTGTTAGACTACAGTCAGGTTCAGTTCAGGCCTTTCCGAATCCCTCTCACTACTCCATGGTGACAGCTACGAAATGCCCTTCACCCGCTCATAACCAGCACCCATAAACTTTAAACCCTAGACCCCGTAGCCCTGAATCAAAACCCAAAATCCTCAAACTACATTATACTTTCCAAAACGTTACTGTATGATATTACACTATGCTATAGACCCTGAGCACGTTCATGTCAAATTGATTGCTGAAATGAGAGGCAAGCTCTCCTGCCCCGTCCAACTCCACTTCTGGGGCACATCCAGGCTTCTTGCCTGGGTTTGCGATTTCGGGTTTGGGGGGGGCGCTAGTTTGAGGCCGAGGCTGTAGGACTTTCGGATCCAGGGGTTGGATTCGGATCAGTCCTAAGGCTTTCAGGTTTGGTGTCTAGGGTTAAGGGGCGAAAGCCTAGAGTTAAGGGCTCAAGGTTTCCTATGTAAGTTCTGCTTGTTGGAGTGAAGACTGTAAGTTTCTTCTGATAATGACAGTGTGCAGAATGATACTGCTGCTAAAGCAAAAGCAAGAGACGAGAACAGCAAGCACAAGAATGACGATGTCCAGGCAGTGCACAAAGAAAGAAGCCGATGATCGAGGCGCGAAGGCAAACAGCGTTGGAGCCACTCTTTAAAGCTATCAATATTGCCCATAGACGTACGAAATAAGCAACGGCGATTCGGGACAGAGGTCATACACAGGGCAACTTTCGTGGAATCCCAAAAAAAGCGGGCATACCAAGTAGTTGATGCTGCCAGGACAAGATTTGACAACTCCATGGTCATGGGGAGCATCGTGCTCAAAAGACATCAGCACCTTGTGAAGAACCTGTGCAGAAACTTCTGAATGATCCCTCCTGCCCCTGGAGGTGTGGATTGGGTTGTTGCAAAGTCCGGGCTCAGGTCACGGGTGCGCGTTCCCAGTCAAGTTGAGTTTGCATGGTTGCGGGAAACATCATGTCCACAAGACTTCACAGATTGGGAAGAGAAACAAAGTGCAGGCTTGTTGGTTTTAGTGCCCAGACAATCACGAAGCCTTAGCTGACCCACAGGACTCCTAAGCGCATGAAAGGAGCCAAGGCTGCGGCTGTGCGTTTCTCGGAGCCCTTCACGGCCCCTCGCTTGCGCTTCTTGCGCCGACTCTCCCGCAGCGTGCTGCAGGAGTAGTAGAGTGTGTTCGTGGAGTAAGACTTGGACTGGGCCTGGCGCATTTCCAATCAACATGCCCATGCCTTCCTCTTCAATGATGTGAACACGCTGATGTTCTCGCAGGCTTCACTTACCATGTGGCCAGATGGGGGTTGGGGCTGAGGCCTTCAGTTTTAGGTTTGGCCTTTGGCGATAGGTTAACGGCGGTCTAACATCTTGCGGCCAAGGCACCGAGTGTTTGGACATCGGCCTGCCAGATCACAGGAGCGACGGAGCCACGAAAAACATGGTCCGCTTAAAGGTTTAAGACTCAGGGTTCAGGGTGTGAAGTATCATCTTCATCCTGACCATGATACAAGTAGCACTGCCCACGAGAATGATGCTGGCGCTGCAGACACGATTTTCCGCCCCTGTTCAATACACAGGCACCCACGATACCCATCCCACCCCCATCACTATCAGCACGATTCCGGATCCTGAGTGCTATGCAAGTAGCGTCCTAACTTGGGTATAATGTAAGGCTCACTTTACATGCAGAATTCTGAGAGACCCCCCCCAGCTCTTTTTGCACATGTCTGGGCAGCTGGCTCGACGATGGGCAGGAGCAGGGACTGGCGCTGCTGCTGCGCGAGCCGGGCTATTCCCACCAGATTCCCTGCGCGTCAAGTATCTTGTTCCATATTGGGGCAATGGATAAGTTTTCCAGGATGCAGGTTTTACTTTAAGATTTCAGTTGATTGATTCGAGGTTAGGGGTTTGAGTGCAGCTCAGGGAACACTCATGTCAACAATAGTTGAACGGTGCTGCGCTCTCTTTCAGGCCCTGCCTGTCTGGAATCCAGGATGGATGTCGTTCTCGACCACTTCTTCCAGCTCCTGGTGCTAGAAAGAACTATGAATGGTTGGGAATGGGGTTATGGCAGGTACGGATCCTCGGCACTGCCTCCCACCACTCCCAATCAAACAAGCACGAGTAAGGGGTGGGTGTGTAGACGCAAAGTTGGCGGCCCACAGAGACCCTCGGGATATTTGAGGACTATGAGTGGGCTAGAGAGGTCCCTATCCCGGATTCTGTAGGCACAGTTTACCTTAAACTTCCGTATAGCGGGGACGATGACAATTCCAATCAAAGGTAACCTGAAGATTGACAGCATCTCACGTGAAGCAAGGCTCCTTGCCCGTCGCCTCCCACTTGAGGTATTTCTCAGCGGTGCTTGGAGGTTCAGATGGTGATACTACCCATCTCAAGAACCGTGCTCATGCCTACAATCGCCATATTACAGAGCAAGAGGCAGAAGAAAGGAACAAGAATAAGACAACATTGCAGTACACAACAATAATGACAGGGACAACTTTGAGAATGATCATCACCAACATGGTAACCGCAAAGCCGCTGGGCTTCTGCAAGGAGCTCTAAGTTCAGGGCCTCCAGGGAAGTCTCGGCGAGTTGTGGGTCTTCGCTGCTCCCGTGCCATACAAAGCCGGGCCTAGGATTCAAGCTCCTCCATGCTTGGGAATTCTTACTTCTAGTCTCGCATGGTTTAGGGCCGGTGCTCAGGGATGCTGGAAAATTTGGACAGGTTGAATACTGGCTCCTGTGTTAGGTCACTGACAGGTATCCGTTTTAGGTCATCCAGAGAACATTCTGGATAGCCGGCCCTTAAGACCCAGACTGTTTCAGCTGCAATTAATATTTCGCATGCTGCTAATGGGCATGTAGATAACTTAACCTCTGCCTACACCTAGAACCAAATGGTGACAACAGGTCTAATAACGCTCCACCGGAGCATGAAACGCGCGCCAAATCATAGGCGTGCACTACATGACAGAATCCCTATAAGACACAGTGTTTCATAGTGTTTCAGCACGCACTAGTATTTCAGCATGCGCGCAAGTAGGGAGAATGCCGAGAATACATCTCGAAGCAAATAGGATGTTTCAGCGTGCCCTTGCCCAAATAGTGCGTTTTCCAGGGGATTCTCTCAGGCAAGCATTTGTGACATGTAGGTATGCACAGCAACAGATGGAGGTTGGCTCATTTTTCTCCCTGAACCAGCCAGTCCTTGCAACTTTGGACTAATGGGGGGTTGATAAAGTTAGATCCAAAATCCTCACACCCTTGCACTAATGGAAACGATCCTTGGACTTATAGGGCGATGAGATAAATTCAAATCAGAATTTCTCACGTCCTCACAGTTATGGGGCGAACCTTGGACAATCCGAATCTCCAATATTAATGTGAGCATGAGGTCGCCATGGATGCAGTAGGAATTGAACGCACGCGAACATGAACGATTTGATGGTCTGGGTATGGGAACTCTGGTGTTCAGATGCAGCCGAACGTAAACGATGTCATGGTCTGGGCATGGATGCTTGGCAGGCCATGCGCCTTGACCCCGCACTTCACTCCATTTCCCAGCGTCAAAACCGCGATGCGTGGTATACGCTGTGTTTTGGGCCCTCGAAACTCGAAACACTTCGAATGTGTGGTTCGTGCCACGAAGGCCACATCAGAAGAGGTCGGCGACGTATGCATGTTATGCGTGTTCACGATCCAGCGGAGCCAGTAACGATGCATCATATAAAGAGCAAACACCTCTTGAGCGCCAACCCAACCAGGAGGGATGCGTAAACCACAAACCCTACATATCAAGGTTTGCACCCCGAAGGTCTTGCCGTTCCCCACACTATGGCCTATATAAGCTCTTTGATGGATCTCCCAAGTGCAGGATGCAAGCCAACAAACCCGACCAACCGAGAGACATTTGTACATCAATGTTCAACCCTAACATAATCCTACACCCTACATGAGCCACGAAAGGGCTGCACAACACATAAGCCCCAAACCAAACAGAAACCCTATACACCGTGCCCGAGCCCCCACGCAAGCTCTAGATTCTTGGGAAAAACTAGGTCAGAAACCTCCTAAGCCAAAGACCTCAGACCCCGCCGAAGCTCAAGCACCAGGAAAACCCGAACTCCAAAGAAGCTCGAACCGAAACCTTCGCTGAGGGCACAGGCGGGAAGGACGCCATCATCGGATCTGGCCCCTATAAGAGCTTTAGGACTTAGGGTTTTGTTTGGGGCTGTATCATATAGGGTAGAGGGCTTTATGGTTTGAATCTGCGTCAACTTCTAAAGGGGTCCAATATGCCCCACAAAGGATTATGTCGAGCCCAGCCCCTAGTTTGACACACTTGCAATCCCTGAATCAGAACTACCTGCAATAGGATTTTGCAAAACGCAGAGCTGACACAAAGAAACCCCACACCTGGGTTCCTGGAAGCAGTGACACTGGCCGAAGCACTGAAATTCCCTTCAGTTTATGGGGGCCCGCCCTGCGGCCTCCTCCTGCATGATATCAGCAACTTCCTGCCCGGCTTTAGCTCACATATAAAACAGCTCCAAGGGCAGGCTTAAAGTGGGTTAAGCTCTAGGCTTGTTTGTTTTGAGACCTGGGGAACTGACATGCTCCAAGCTGAAAGCTGAAGGAAGCTAACCACGGCACTAGGAATCATGGGTCTGTAGGCTTCCTTCGCGCCTCTGGCTGCCTATCATTGCGGCTATGGGTTCGTTCTCGAAGCGTTCAGACACCCCAAGGCTGAAGCAAGGCCAAAAAAATTCTGACGAGGGTCTAGGTGCACTTCAGCTACAGCCTTCGACACTATCGCAGTCTAAGTAGGAGGTTTGCTCTGGGAACATTCCATCTAGCCCTGAAAGCCTGGCAACCAAAAAAACTATGGCCTCCAGACAGGTTGAAGCACAAACCTTGGACCCTCACTTGTGTAGATGCCTGCGAGATGTTCTGGGAAGGGCGTCGTACTTCAGATCTTGCTGACTTTTGCTTCTCTTCCTGATCCTGCATCGACGCCAAGAGCTAACTGAAACGGCAGCGGTGTTTCTTGAATATTGTCATCATGTAATTCTACATGGCCTCGAGATCGCAATTCCTGGATTTTTTGGGAAGCTCCTCAAGCGTCTCTGATGAAGCTTTGGAAACTTGATGCGTTGCCAGACAACTGTAAGCTCTTTATTTGCCTTGAGGGACCCAGGGGTGGAAGGTCTGTTCTGCTCGGTCTGGCCAAGCCCCGTGTTTTGGTTTGTGAGAAGTGGACCAAGACAAGCTCGCAGGCTCTTGCTAGATTTGGATGGGATCTGCCAGGCATTGCGTCTGTTGAAAAGAAAGTCCTTCGTCTGTTCGGGTCTAGATTGCGGCCCCCTATTTCCAGAAGACCCACATGCCCTCATGTTCGTGCCAAGCCTACAGGTGGTGGCTCATCTCCACCGCAGAGCCCACCCCGTGGAGGCATCCTCCCCCCTACCGCTTACGCTTTCAAAAGCCTGACAAGTTGTTATGTAATGTTAGCGGGAACCTACACTTTCTCATCCTAGTCCATGTCTTGGAATGGGCTTGCACCCCCATCAAAAACTCCCCTGCAGCTTTTCGAAAACAAATGCTTGGCAACTTTTGACAAACCAAACACGAGAAACCCTTATTTCAACGTAGACGACCACAGAACCAAGGGAACTGCAGAGGACTCCCCACAGGTTTGGATTTCGCACAGCATGTTTACCATGTATCTGTCTTCAGAGACCGACTTCACGGCCACATAAGTACTGACCCCATCTGACCCCCTCCTCCTCCCCCTTACTGCCTTGCCATTGTTGCAAACCGTTTACATTTAAGCTGGATGACGTACTCTTGCGATCTTGACGAGCTTCTCCTTGAATCTCCTTGACCGCAAAATAGCCTGCCTCACAGCATTCAACCTTTGGACTGTAGTGTAGGGCTGTTAACAGCATCGGCTAGTAGCAGCTCTGAAGCTTGAAATCTGAACAATGCTAATTCATCGAATCTCTAGCTGCTAACACTGGCATGGCCTCTGGCAATGTTTTTTCATGGTGTACTCAACCAAATCCCCCGCCCAACAAGTAGTAAAAAATAATCCGATTCCCTGAAATGAAAATTGACTGATGAAGCTCGCAAGCCTAGGGACTGATGAAGCTCGCAAGCCTAGGTCCTAGGTACACTTCTGGACACAATCCATCCCAAGAAACCTCCAAGAGACGACAGTAAAACATCAGATGCGCAATAGCTAGCTTGATGTATATCCACACACTGGAAATCACTGGAATTAACATTCACTCCACACTGCGTCCCCAGCACAAACCTACCCCCGTCTATCCGCGCCCTGACTCCTGATGTACCAGAAAGGACTCAACAGTGCCTTAGCTTGAACCAAGCAGTCAAAGACTCGACAAATTTGGGCGCACAAGGCCCCGCTCCTCCTTGCTCTCCGATCTGCCTTCGGAGTCCGCCCCGCGGCTACTTTTCGACCCGGCCCGGACCTTCAGAGATCCCAGAGAAGGAGTGTCTAGCTCCAAGTTGCTCAAACTGAAAATCCCAACAACAATTCGTCTGGGCTTACCCTTTCTGGCTTCCATTTCAAGCAGAAACACGGCTTGCTTGATGTCATGTAGAAGTACCATGGTGTATGCAGAGCGGCAGACGTGGGTGGCTCTGACTTGGGTCTTGCTTGGATGTCAATTCCAAAGGCTGTTGCAAGTGACCTTGCCCATACAGGCATGTCCGACTGCGGATAAAGGCATGAGTTTTGTGTGACTTTGCAAGTTGCAGGTTGGTCTGCCTCAATAAGTTCATGAAAGAGCAGCAACTTTGCTTCCAGCATCTTCGGCAGTACTGCTGGAAAGCTTCTGTGAAGGTAAACGTTGCTCTGAGCATGGACCGTCCTGGGCAGCAGATGGATGCTGCTATGGCTCCAACATCTCTGTGCGATGCGCAATGGCACCGAATGGCACCGGTGATTCTATTCTGACACGGGAAATGCTGCTGGCCCCATGCAAGCTAGCTTCAAAGGGATGAGTTGCAGATTTTGCGCATTTGCCGGCTTGTCAATACATGGCGAGAAATGGGCGGAGGCAGGCGGGGGGTGGGGCATGGGCGGGGCGAAGGTGGCGGGGAGCGTGGCGGCACATTGGATGCTGCATTGACCAAGGCTGGGCGAATTCGATGGAAGGACAAGGGCTGGCACGTGCCAAAAACTCTTCGACCTCCGACGTGAGAACAAGAAATCCTAGACACGAGGCCCAACCGCCAAAATCCTAACATTTGAAGAAGTTAAAACCCTAGAATCCTGACCCCCTTCCTGAAGCTTTCATCGCACCCTCAACCTTGCCGAATGCCTGGAGGCCCTTCGATGGACTTCTCCCGCGGCTGCCGCGGCTCCCACGACTCAACTTGGAGGATGACCGCGTGAGGCCTAGTGCGGATTTGGGCTCAGTGGGGTTTAGCGGTTGGGGAGCGAGAGTGTGGGATTTAGGGTGCTGGTGGGGGTTGACGATGTCGGCGGCGATGACGTCTACTACCACCACCACACCCCCACTATTACCACTACAACTGCTGCGTCTTCTTTGAGCATGGATGTTCGGGTGTTGGTCGTGTGCAGCATACGGGGCTAGGGCTACAAGGAACGTGTCCCCAAACAACACTGCTGCACACTTTCTATAGGTAAGTTGTTCAACATGACCTCGATGCAATCCTCAAAAGAGAAGACCTTGTTACCCTCTACCCTAGGTTCAGGAATCTCAGAAATTCAGCCCGATAAACCTTGAGGGTACTCTCCTCCCGACGTTCCCCTATTCGAAATATTCGTTGGTGGAATCTTTACATTGGACAATGACCTGAACATTTTTCTTGGGGCAGAAGCGGTACACATTTCCTTCTTCGGGTTGAGGATCCCCATAGTTAATCAATCCGAGACCGGAAGCTTTGCTTCGAGGCAGCGCGCCCCTGACATGACAGCCCGCAACCAAGTAAGGAGGAGAAGTAGGGTTTTGGCTTCATTGGTTTGATGTTGATGGGTTTAGAGATACGGGTTTGTGCGTCCAAGGTTTATGGGTTTTTGTGTTACGCCCCCACACCGTGCTCGTCTTCCAGGGTCCCCCACTGAGGCCCCTAACCCCGTTGACCGTGCAACCAACAGCCCCTAAGCGTGAAGCTCCTGAAGGCCAGTTTCTACTCAACATGAACCTTCCAGTAGACGCCATGATTATGGACTGAGCGTTGCCGTAAAGCGAGAGGCTGGCCTTTGGCTACGTCGTTAGCCATGCTTAGCCCAGCTGGGGCTCTGTGACCCAAGATGTATGAAGCAGGATTTCAATAGGAGACGTCAGCGTTCACCGAGTTGCAGAGAATACTGTGGTCCCGGATCCCCTTGAGGAATGACTCTTATGCACAAGAGTCATTCTGACAAATTTCCGCATTTCCTGCCTGACTCATCTTGGAGTTGACCCGCCGTAGCTTCGCTTCGCCTGCAAGCCACAATAGAAGCATATTGCCGTTGGTAGCACCGCCAATGTAGAAATGAATCTGAATCCACGTCCCTTGCATGAGCTACGGACAAAAGTTAGGCTGGGCGGGACCTACAGGAGGATGTGTAGGGGGCTTAGGGGGATCTTATAGGGAATATACTATATATTTAGTCCAGGGTTCACATACCTGCGAGTGATCAGAACTGTCATTGCAAACCCTGGTAAACGCCAAAGCACTGCTCCAACAGAAGCCTGACTCATCCCTAGTGCACAGCCCCACCACAGCTCTGGCATCATTGCCATGCACCTAAGCAGAACAATCCGGGATTGGTTCGATTCGGCTCATACACGTAAGTAGGGACCTTGAAGCTCACATCCTCAAACTCCTGAACCCCTCACTCCAACCCGGCTGAGAAAGTTGCTTGTTGTCACCTTATGCAACAGCTCCATATCTCGAAGAATTGGCGGCTTGCAGGTCAATCTTAGACTGTGTATGAACTGCTTGACCAATCAAGAAGAGGATTCAAGGGCCTCCAGCAGTTTGGGTGGAAGGAGGCTTCTTCTTGTCGCCTCAGGAACTCGGCACTCATTCTGCAGGGTCACGCATTAGGAAGTTCAAACGACAGGAAGCGATGGGTGATAGGGTACTATTCCGGGGAATCTGGTACTATGTAAAGGATTTTGAAATCATGTAGGCCTAGTGCGGATACATGCCTGATCCACCCAGGCATCCCAACATAACCCTGTATATAGCAATGTGCAGTCATTTTGCATCTTCTTTTCTATCTGATGTTCCATGACTGAGGTATTCTATCCCTAAACCCTAAACCCTAGATCCTAAACCCTCAATCCCTAAACCCTGAATTCCTAAACCCCGCTACCCCCCATCGTCTCGCCGGGTCTGCGAAAGGTGCGAGGGTATGCAAGGCACAAAAATACTGAGAATTTTCATACGAAATGCGTTTAGGGGAGCCCGAAAGAGGCTTTATCCCAGGTCTTTTTTTTAAGCGACCCAACATAAACACCTGAAGGGCACCGAC